GCTTCCTTGTCTCCCGCCTCCTTATCCCCAGCCTTCGCGGCATCAAGGACCACCCGCCGCGCGCCCACAGCCTCAGGCACCCACCGCTCCATCTCCTTGAGCACCCAAGCCGCACGCGCCCGATAAGTCCGGTACAGTGCATGATGCTCCAGCGCGCACACCACGTCCACCAACGTCTTCCCCTCATCAAACGTCTGGCGCGCCGCGAGTCGACTAAAGCCCTCGCCCCGCTCGACAAGCGCTAGCATCACAAGATGCAGCGTCTGGTCTAAAATCGCCTCTGCCGCTGTCGGGGCCGCCTCGTCGCTCAGCATCAACACGTTCTGCAGCGCACAGAACAGTATCTGCATCAGGACCTCGCTCTCCCACGCCTCCTCCAACTTCTTGAACGGACTCCCTTCCTCAATCTCGATGGGTTTCGGTACAATAACTGGTTCCGTCACCCCGGTCGTTCGCTTCAACCTCGCAAGTAATATCCGCTCCACCTCCTCCCGGCGATTCCGCGTATAGTGATAGAAAAACGGGTCGACCTCGCTCCACGCCTCGTCCCTCAGTTCATACGCGCCTGTATCGCTGGTGTTCTCTGGCGGTCGGAAGCGCGCGACCTCGGCCAAGACGGATTCGAAGCACACGTCGTCAACGAGGCGCTCCGCGACGCGCTTTACGAGCTCAGTGAAGGCGCACGACGCCGTGTCGCCTGCGAGTGCATGGATAATCTCGCGCCGTACGGCTCCGCGCACCGGGAGGCGCGCTGCCGCGGCCCGCTCGCCGAGGATGACGGTGAAAACATACAGGAGCTCTTCCGCCATGTGCGCAAGTTGCGCGCCTTCGTACTGCGGGTGTAGCTGCCGCGTCGCGGGTCCATCTTCGTCGTCTCCGAAAGAGAAATACTCCCGCATCTGGAACCGATCCAGGATCGACACAAAGATGATATCGGGCGAGACCACGGTGAGCGCAGTCTGCAGTATGAACAGATCCTGGTCGTAGCAAAGCTCGCGGAGCATGAAGTCGCGATAGTGCAGCAACTGCCCGCGAATCGCGAAGCCGTTGCGCACCCAGAGGCCTGTGCGAATTTGCGCGATCATGGCGAGGACTGGAAGGGGGTTAGTACGAGTGCAAGAAGAAAATGGAAAGCACACACCCCGCAGCGGATAGTCCACGATCACCAAAATTGCCTGCTCGCTCGCCTTGGTCAACAAGAACTGCCTCAAACTCTCATACCCCAGCTCCTTGAGCTTCGCCGCATCCAAGCCCCCCACATGCTTGAACAACTCCGCCAGCAGCCAATGCAGCGCATGATGGAAGCTCACCCACCCCTCCAGTACGTCAAACTTCACAATCTCGTACCGCCGGCTGCCAAATCGTACCACTTGGAACTCAGGCGTCGCGAACTTGGTGGGGTCAAGCCGGGTGTCGGGCTCGGCGGACATAGTGCACACGACCATGACCTGGTGGATTACCACTCCAATCGCGCCGATGAGTTGCGACGGCGTCGCCTTCGCAAACGCCTCGCCATAGACTTTGATGACCCGCGACAGCGACAGGGTGACGTTGAACACGCTAATCCACGCGTCCGTCTCATACTCGACATGCGCCTGCGCCGCCCGCTTGTTGGGATTCAGACACATGAACAGTGAGCACGTCCGCACAAATTGCACAATGTACTCGCGACCAGAGGCGATGAGCGCTTGCACAGGCGCGGTGTGCGCGAGGTAGCGCAGGTCGCTGAAGACGGGCATGAACCGCTTGCTCTTGAACGGGAAAGCGTCGACGTCGAGGCGGCCTAGTGGGTGGGGCGGGTATACGATACGCCGGTCAACGATTTGGTTGGTAAAGAACGCGGAGATGAGCGCGAGGATGCGCGCCACGAGGTGGTGGTTGCGCGCGACGTGTGCCGAGGCAGAGGGCACGGTGAAGAGCTGAAGGGCAAAGTACTTGATTGAGGTCTCGGCCTCGCGGTCGACGAGGAGGTACGCATCGACGACGCGGTGGTAAACATTTGCGAAATGGCCAGCTTGGTAGTATGCCAATAAATAAATAAAAGAGAAGAGAGAGTAGATGGCGACGTACCAACGGCGAGCTTATGTTCCCGACTGATAGACAGAATGGCGGCGTAAGTCTCCTTGAGCGCAAGCCGTGGGCGCTTCCACAGCTTGGTGTGGTCGAGGAATAAACAGTCGATGCGCGTGCGGTTGGGGATCTCGGCGTGGTGAGTCAACTTCGTTCGCGCGGGAGCCAATAGCTCCCTGGCGAGGATTTCGCGGAGGACAAGGGTATCTAGTCCGAGGCGTGCTCGCGTGAGATCGAGCAACCACTCGGTGATGACGCCGACGATGTGCTCGCGGAAGGTGTCGTGTCCTCTGCGCACCGTGACGCCCAAGTCGATCTGCGACAAAGCATGGGCAATGTCCAGCAGGCGCACTGCGTCGGTGCCGTTCGAAACAACAACTCGCCCGTCCTCGTCCAAGCGGCGCACGAGCAACGCTGCTTCATCGGGGTGAATGGAGGTAAGATCTGCGAGCAAGGTCGAAATCTCCTCGTAAGAATGCTTGTCGTCATTCCAGAGTACGACGCAGTAGTGGTCTTTGAGCAACGGGTCTCCCGAGGGTTGCAGCCGGAGGTCAGCCTCGTTCGGAGGTACGGACGGCTCATCGGGTGAGAGGTCGAGCGTGTCCAGTATAAAGTCCAGCGCACACGCAATAGTCCGGGCCATCGTGTCGCGTAACTCGGGAGGGACGGTCGCGCGATTAACGTAGTTGGCCACAGGCGGGATATCGTCGGGAATAGGGCGGTAGTAGGTCTTTGGTGGATCGACCTGGGGCGCGGGGGGATGGAAGGGGCAGTTTATTGGGTGGCGCCAGGCCTCCTCGTCGCCGCAGTCGCAGCATCCACCGGGCTGTTGGGCGATAAAGAAGCTGACATTGTGCCCCTCGTGGTCTGTCGCATGGAAACACCGTGCACACAGCACACAACTGTCATCTAGCGTACAATCCTTGCACCGAAAGCAGCTTTCGCCCTTCTTGAAGACATGGCTGCACGGTCGGCCCGGGATTACTGGCTCGTCCCTTCCGGCGCCATTGTAGCCTATTTGGCCCTGCGCCTCGCTCAGCAGTATGTGTGATTCTAAACTTGAGTGTTGCGGCAGAAAGAGGTCATTGTAAGGGCCCCAGAACGCGTCGTACAGCGCTGTGAGCACTTCCGCGCGCGTGTTCGGTCCAAATGCATATTTGCGCAAGCCAGGAAGAGTTTCGAGAAAGAAGCGCAGCTGAGAGACGGACTCTGACGGCCGATCGCGCGAGTTCATGGATGCAGGGAGGAATTTGGAAGGAAAGAACGAGGTCAAGCCCGACATGGCGTGTGGCTGACAGAGAGGGTTTGTTTGCCAACCACCACAATCCCAAATAACGCTCTCTGCCAATTTAGGAAGGTACCCGCAACGTTTGCGAATTCATCGATAATATTTTGCGCAGACTTGAATGGGAGTGCCGTCTGATTCTCATACATGACTGAATCTTCATCCGAAATTAATGGACTAAATATGTCAGAGCAGCGGTGACCTTATGGCGACGGACGTCACCGAGAGACGGTCGTGTGACTGTCAAAGACGGGTATGAGAGCACAACAAGTCTTGGGGAACCTGGAGGCGACCCTTGTGAATCCTTCAAAAAAAGGTTGAACAAAGCCGAGAAGCCCGAAATTGTTTCCGAGGGCCCAGAATTCGATGGTGCAGCCTGCATGGACAGATCGGACAACCAAATATATTTTAACCGCTCAGGGAAACCAGACCTGCGATACACCCTGCACTGTATGGGGCTGAGTGTGTCGGAAATTTAATTTTAGCCTTATAAGAATAGAGATCGGCAAGAGCGGTCTGGACCTTATGTCGGCTCACACCGCCTTGTAAGACGCGATGACGATTGCCGTGGCGATGCAACACAGCCCGCCCGAAGTTTGCTTTGCGATTGAGGCGCGATTCAGGCCTGCCCTCACCGCAGAGTTGCATTCATGGTGGTCCATGGTCCCAAGCATTGCTCTTTGCACCTCCAAAGCTGCCCCAGGGTGGCTATTTCAGGAGAAGCAGCTTAATTCTTGTAAGTACTCTCTTTGCGTGCAAGCTATTATAAGCGCAAAATCTCTTACGGCCTTGCAAGGCACTGCATCGCCTTGTAGCCAAATTTAGAAATTTCCGACATGAGCAGGTCAAGACTTGAGACCAACATGAGTCTGGCATCGGATTTGAACGACTTAAACATCTTATCAGGCCGGCTTTGCCGTCATACCGTCATAAATGCCAGGGCCAAATTTCGTCGAAACATTGAAACAAAGTAATACGAGTGAAACTTAGAAAGGAGCCTGATCAGCTTCTTGCCCCATCGGGGAGCTCAACGCCCAAGTCCCGATCGGGAAGGTGATAGGTCTTAATGCATGCCGCCCTATGTATCCATGGTTGGTAGTCATAAAAGCAATGAACAGACACAGAATTGAGTCTGTCTCACGCAGTCTTTGTTGGTTTTCCTCATTCCAAAGACTTGATCTGATGATCTTTGAAAGATCCTGGACACCACGCGTTAAAGACTGGAGTCTTTAACACACTGTGACTGAGCGGGTGGTCTTTGACGTCGTGATTTTCGCCCGAGGTCCCCGATGCGACACGGGCTAGTCCGTATATTACCTAAGTCGCTGCCTCGGAGTAGCTCGGGTCACGGTATTCACTGCGAACCAACTGCGAACCAAAAAATGTACACGCAAAAATGTTGTGAGGTGAAATAATCAAAATAAATTCTAGCTGGACAAGGATCACGCTTTTCATGCGAAGGAAGGCGTTGGAGGGAAAGTTTATGAGATTTGCTACAGCAAAATCACTGCTGGGCTGCACTGGAGTGAAGTCGTTGGAGGGACATTTCGCCATCAATCCGTCACGGATCCGAGTCCGCGCCATCATTCCTGTTGCTCCAGTGTGTTCTTGCCCCACCACCCAGGTGTGCTCAGCAGGTTAAATCGGTCTGTTGGCTCAGTGGTAGAGCGTCTGATTCCAGACATCTCCGTGGTTCCAGAAGGTCGTCCGTTCGATCCGGGCACAGATCAGGAAGCGCGATAGGCCTTTGACATCCTTCGGGCTTTGTTTTTGACTCGTTCGGGCTTTGTTTTTGACTCGCGGCATGACTCGAGAAGCATGAGGCATCAGACAGAAACATCAGCCATCATCAGCACAATGGCAGCGCATTTTGTGCTTCAGTACTTCCAGCTAAACCAGAAACGATAGACGTTTTTGATGGGCAATGAGAGTTCGGCTAAAGCTGATGGGAGCATGTCCAGCATAGCCACAACCAACCAACGCCGTTCCACACCTCCACTCGTTACCTACACTGTCAGGGAATCGAGGGGATACACTAGTTGAGCAGAAGGAACTTACTGCTATATTTTGTGGAGGTTTTCGAATGCGAGGTTCGGAGAAAATGAAGCGCGCTATGCTCGGCCCGAACTTTGATCAACTTTAGCCGAACTCTCATCGCCCATCAAAAACGTCTATCGTTTCTGGTTTAGCTGTCAGCTTCAGTTTTCGACAAGGTTCGCCAAAGCCGTCCGTTCAATCAGGGAGATCATGGTGCGACAACTTTTACTAGAGGCATCTTTGTGGAGGCATCTTTGTGGGCGGGTGTTCAGTAACATCGCATCTACTGTCTTTTGTTGTGTTCTAGGAAAGATTACGATTTTGCTCTATAGTATACGCGATCTGAACGATTGTCTCCAGATTTCATGCAAGATATATGTACTAGAGAGGCTGGTATCGCGCCTACAATTCTGTCACGGTCTTACCCGCATTGAACTTAGTACATGTTTTGGTGCAAGTTCAATTTTTCGCTCGCAAATGCCAACGCTAGTGGGTGGGACGTGGATTCCGCTAGCGCACGACGCCGTGTACCACTCTAATCCGCAAGACGGACTCTTCTTCGACTCGAAATAGTTTTGCCCTCGGCATGTGTTTCCAGTCAGCCCTCAGCGCTCAGCTCTCTTGCGGAGTGGTGAGCAATCCCACGCTCCGGTGAATCGCCCACGTTGTCGAAGGACAACTTCAATCATGCTCGACAGAGGTCTTGCGCCAAAACGATTCCTCTCAGATTCTTGGATTCCACCAACTTGACCGCATCGAGCGGCGAAATTCATCACGCGACCACGTCGCTCAAGCGTCGAGTCGACTGAGACTCTAGCCCGAAAACACGCAGAGAGTTTTACAATTTACAACGTCGTCGATGCCCGCTGGTCCTGGAGCTTTTGCCTGCCGATTCGATGTCGGCGCTTTCGGCAGGGCGGGACTATTTCTTTTTCTGGCCGCCTCCTATCGAGTATAAATTCAACCCACTTCCCTTTTTGGAAGTTCGTTCTTTGCTCTTGACCTGCATCATCTAGCACTCCATTCCCTCAGCCTATACACACAAAATGGTCGCAATTCAACGTCGTTTTACTGCCCTCCTCGGCCTCTGTCTCGTCGCCTCGGCCATCCCCGCTCCCGCAAAGGTATGTTGGGTTTCTTTTCCCGTCGTTTCTCGCCCGCCGCAAACGCGCCTTTGTTGATTCTCCTCGCCCAGGACATGCACGCACGCCGCTCCTCCTCCGTGACCGCCTCGCCTCAAGTCCCTCGCCTGCCGCGCAGCATGCCCAACGCGCCGAAGCCCGATACCAATGCCGTTCCGCCGATGAAGATTGTAAGACGCGCTACCTCGCCGCCATCGGTCTCGCCCGCAGTTCCGGACTCGAAAGCACTCGTGCCCGACACGCCCAAGCGCACTACGCCTGCACCACCTGCTGTTCCAGATCCCAAGGCAGAAACAAAAGCCCTCCCCGTCTCCAACACGCCCAGGCGCGCTATGTCTGCACCGCCCTCGGTCCCGGTTCCCGCCGCCGCCCCTTCCATGCCGCGCGAGCTCCCAGCTGCCCCCGAGGTGACCAAACCCGATGCCAACGCCGAACCGTCGAAGAAGATCCTTCCTGACGAAGAAGCTTCCACGCCTGACCCGATGGAGGGCAAGGTAGTTCCCGCCCCCAAGATTCCCAAGCGTGCCACGCCTACGCCTCCCGCCGCGCCGACTGTTCCAGATCCAAAGCCAGAGATCCCCGTCCCCGACCCCGGCAAACGGTCGACGCCTGCGCCCGCCACTCCCGCTGTTCCGAATCCTGAGGCAGAGACGAACGCACTCCCCAAGCGCGACGTGACCGATCCCGACCAACTTGAGGATGATTTTAGCCCCGAGGTCAACCCACTGGTTGCGCGGTCCACCAATTCTGACAGCGTTCCTGAGCCCATGGAGCACCCTCCCATCCACCGCCAGCAATTCTCCCGTGATACGGCGGCACCAGTCACGGAGCCAGTGGACACCATCGCGGACGCAGAGTCGGGCGACACCAAGGGCCAGCAGGCCGGCAAAACTTCCTCCACAGACGTCATGCAGCCTTCGGCCATTCAGCCACTGGACGAGAACTCGGACACCCCCGTTCTGCAAACGAACCAGGAAACGACCGAGGACAATGACAAGACGAGCGACGTTGCGGTGGCGGGACCCGCCAAGGACGCCTCGGGACAAACCCTCCACGACCATTCGGAGACGCGGCCCGACGGGGAGAATACGACGGACATGGATGCCGCTGGCGGGATGATTCAGGAGCACAAGCAGATGCAGAGTGAGCGCGCGCTCCCCGTCGACGAGTCCCACCCGACGGTCACTGATCACATCGTCGCGACGCCTGTTGACTCGGAGAAGGTGCACGAGCATACGAACTAGATGTGTATTTGTAAAGTTTTTATACCAGACTCGGATTTTTGGTTCATGATACGCACACTTGGAGTTCGCGTCCTCGACTTCAATAGAATTGAGCACATACTGGAGAGAATATCAGACGATTCCCCGCTCCGCCTCGTTGGGGTGAATGCAGTCAGAAACTTTGCGATTGAAATTTGATCCAAGAGATTCGAATGCAAAACAGTTGTCAGCTTTCTGTCCCGCCTGGAGGTCCAGGCTCCTCCTGAGCGGAGCGGAATGGCTCTCATCGGCGTCTCTTCCACTCGCCTTTGGCCTGTTTCTTCGCCTTCGCCTTCCCTTTGACAATTACCGGCGAACGCTTTTCTGATTCGTCGGAATTTCTTCGTCGCTTCGACTTCCGCTATCTTGAATTTCCAAACAATTGGCGTAGCAAGGCTACGTCAAGTGTGGAGAACCTTGATCACGCTGAAGAAGTGCAGGTTGAAGCTGATGAAGCGCACCACGTTCTCATGAACTAGCCGAAGGAGAGCCTACGCGTTTAATACTATGGTACCGATTTGTATCAATTTTTGTACATTTTCCACTGGTTCGGGTACGCCCTAGGACGACAGTCAGAAGTGAAATATTAGATGTTAGTTCGACGCACATAGTCTGCGTCTCGTTTCACTCAAAGTCAAGCGACTTCAACTCTTCCCAGGCGGGGAGGCCAAACGCGGCTGGTAATTCCTGCCAGCACGTCTCCCGTCCAACATTGTAGATCTCCTTCGCCTTCCTTCGACAAGTAGAGCACAGCATTGAATCCCACTCTTTGTTCCAGTCATTGAGGATCCAGATCTCTGGAAGCTGTGAGGGGGCCTCTGGACTGAAAATACTAATGAAAATAGCCTTGGCTGCATCGGTGCAGTCACTGGAGGAGCAACAATCTTCCGCGGGTATGGGCGGCGACTCGACATTAAAGTTAAGCCATGCGAGTGTTGTCGTCGCCTGCAATCGTAGGAGGTTGGTATGGCCCAGCAAACAAGCAAGTCGATCACAGGCGGCGAGGCTTGTGTCTGCGGGATCCAAAATCTGGAAATGGTCTTGTAAATGAGGCCTATGTGGGGGGGAGGAAGGGTAACAACCTTGGGCAGATACTTATTGGGGAAAAGGGTGGTAATTGAGCAATAAAGTTGAGGCAGGATGGAGTGTAGACCGATTTCCCTGGCCAAGGATATAAGGAGTAGGAATGTGTTTGAGTCGCTTTTAATGAAGTTCCAGTCGGTCTTATCATATTTCTTGAGGATGGTGGGGAACTCCTGCTTCAGTCGACTGACGCAATCTTTCCGAAAGAGAGGGAAATCATATTTTTTGCTTAGGCGTGACATCGCGGCAAGGAGTCTCGCGCTTGGACATCCTCCCAAATAAAATCTAAGGCATTGCGCCGTTAAAAAGGTACATTCATTATGTATGAGACGTCGGGCACTCACTTCGGGTATATCACTCCTAGGAGAAGAATCCAGTCCTCCGCCGTATCGCCAGAAAGAATAACGACCGGACAGTTTTCAATGGTGGGTTCGTCGGCAGGGAGAGGAATCGTGAACATGTCTCGAAAGACGGATGAGTGCATGGAGAGCATGCTCTTGGTGAGCCGAAATTGTGTGGATTCGACCTGGAGGATGATGTTGCCGTCGTCGAACCAGTATTCTGTGGACCGCACGAGCGGAGGAGTCTTGTGTTCGGCATCCGCATCCACATCCGAGTCTGTGCGTTGACGCTTAACTCGGTGCTCATCCGCCATGAGCCCGAGTCGGATATCTGGAGCCTGAAGAATTACTAGAAGCGGAAATTCGCCAAACCATGCCACACCGATCAAACGCGTCTTATACTGACCACGACTTGAACCACGACCACGAAAAAATCAGAAGCACGTATGGAAGACGCTCCGCGCACTAAACGACGCCGCACAATAGCGTACGAGACCCCGCTTGTACGGTCCACAGAATACTGGTTCCACGACGGAAGTATCATTCTCCAGGTCGAATCCACGCAATTCCGACTCGCGGAAAGTATGCTTGCGATGCACTCGTCCGTCTTTCGCGACATGTTCACGGTCCCGCTCCCCGCCGATGAACCGACCATCGAAAATTGCCCAGTCGTCGTTCTCCAGGGCGACACAGTGCAGGACTGGGTTCTCTTTCTCGGGGTTTTGTATCCCAAGTGAGCTAAATATCGAGTGGCATGTGCCACCTGAATCAAAATAACTTATGAGATTCGTAGATCTTATGTAGGGGAGGCGCCCACGGTCGGCCTCCTCGCCGCGATGCTTCGTCTGAGCAAAAATATGACTTT